TGTTTGTTTGTTTGTTTGTTTGTTTGTTTGTTTGTTTGTTTGTTTGTTTGTTTGTTTGTTTGTTTGTTTGTTTGTTTGTTTGTTTGTTTGTTTGTTGTTTGTTTGTTTGTTTGTTTGTTGTTTGTTTGTTTGTTTTTGTTTGTTTGTTTGTTTGTTTGTTTGTTGTTTGTTTGTTTGTTTGTTTGTTTGTTTGTTTGTTTGTTTGTTTGTTTGTTTGTTTGTTTGTTTGTTTGTTTGTTTGTTTGTTTGTTTGTTGTTTGTTTGTTTGTTTGTTTGTTTGTTTGTTTTTGTTTGTTTGTTTGTTTGTTTGTTTGTTTGTTTGTTTGTTTGTTTGTTTGTTTGTTGTTTGTTTGTTTGTTTGTTTGTTTGTTTGTTTGTTTGTTTGTTTGTTTGTTTGTTTGTTTGTTTGTTTGTTTGTTTGTTTGTTTGTTTTTTTTGTTTGTTTGTTTGTTTGTTTGTTTGTTTGTTTGTTTGTTTGTTTGTTTGTTTGTTTGTTTGTTTGTTTGTTTGTTTGTTTGTTTGTTTGTTTTTTGTTTGTTTGTTTGTTTGTTTTGTTTGTTTGTTTGTTTGTTTGTTTGTTTGTTTGTTTGTTTTTTGTTTGTTTGTTTTGTTTGTTTGTTTGTTTTTTGTTTGTTTGTTTGTTGTTTGTTTGTTTGTTTGTTGTTTGTTTGTTTGTTTGTTTGTTTGTTTGTTTGTTTGTTTGTTTGTTTGTTTGTTTGTTTGTTTGTTTGTTTGTTTGTTTGTTTGTTTGTTTGTTTGTTTGTTTGTTTGTTGTTGTTTGTTTGTTTGTTTGTTTGTTTGTTTGTTTGTTTGTTTGTTTGTTTGTTTGTTTGTTTGTTTGTTTGTTTGTTTGTTTGTTTGTTTGTTTGTTTGTTTGTTTGTTTGTTTGTTTGTTTGTTTGTTTGTTTGTTTGTTTGTTTGTTTGTTTGTTTTTTTTTTTTTTTATTCATGTAAACGGGAAAAGTCTCTCTAGTACAAACAATAGCTTATAGAAAAAGAAGTAAAAAAAAAATACATAAACATATACAAATATACAAGAATTAATAGAAAAAAGAAAAAACAAAAAAACAAAAAATAAAGATTATACTTGTGCGGATAGATTAAGACTAAGAACAAGATCAAAATTAAGACCAAGATTACGATCAAAAATCAAACGCATGCACGCATCCAAATATTTGAAATTTCTACTTGACTGCTACCTCAACCTGTCGACTGATGTACGCCAATACAGAACGCCTAAACTCATGTTCCGAATAATGAAAGAAATCACACCGATTCGCATATGTATTTGCTAACATACACAATATATTTAACGGTTTATAAAGTCCGGTGACATTCCTCATGGAAAATCGCGTTATTTCTTAGAGACCTAGCTGGAACATGCAAGTTGATCCTGGTCAGTAACTCCGGACAAATTATTCGCCCATTAATTAATTTATATAGGAACATTAAATCCATAAAAATTCTTCTATCTTCCAATGTAATTAATCTAACTTTATTAAGAATGATATAATATGTATAATCAGAGTAAGACATCGGACAGTCTGTATAATAACTGACCCTACGAAGAAATCTGTGTTAGACTCTTTCAATCTGGACACAAAGATTTTGCTGATATGGAGCCCACAGAACCGATGCATACTCCAGCTTCGGCCGAACCAGCGCACAAAACAATAGCCGCACCGCGTTAATATTTACAAAATATTTACATGTCCTCATTATAAATCCAAGCGTCTTGTAAGCACGACTCGTGCACAAGTTCACGTGCTCCTCAAAAGACAAATCGGCGAAAAAAATAACGCCCAGGTCACGGATCGACTCAACCGTCGTTAATTTACTTGCTTCTATTTTGTAATTATTTTTAATAACGGCTCTCTTTCTACCGAAATTTATCACCTGACACTTGGACATATTAAAATACAATTTATTATTTAATTCTAACGTAAAATTTAGTTTCGTTGGGATAACGCACTGTCTTCCGCGATCAGTTTTTATCGCCTGTCTTATACTTTAAATTTATATTTATATGACAGAGCCTTGTTATACTCTTAACAATTTATTATCTTTGCACCACTGGTTCAAACGCAGCAAATCCTGTTGTAACAGTGCTGCATCCTCAGTCATCGATTTTTCGAAAAATCTTTAAATCATCCGCATAGAGCAAGAACGAACTATGCTCAAAGACTTTGGCAATATTGTTTATAAACAAATTAAATAGCAGTAGTCCCAAATGCGAGCCCTGCGGAACCCCCGACGATGCTTTGAATTCTCTCGAGAGACAGTTCTTATATTTCACCTGCAATCGCCTATCTGTTACAAAGCTCACTAACCATTTCAACAACGGTTTCCCAATGCCAAGCGCACGCAATTTACACAGAAACAGCGTATGGTCAACACTGTCGAACGCCTTTCTAAAATCAGTGTAGACGGCATCCACCTGTGAGCCACTCTCAACTGTAGTACTCAAAAAATCGTGATACAACAACAAGTTTGTCATTACTGATCTCCCTGCAACAAACCCGTGTTGTTGATCCACGATCACGTTCCTCAACAGCAATGCAAGTTTACCAGTCACTATATTTTCAAATATTTTCGGCCTAATATTTTGCTAACTTATAGGCCTATAATTAGTAACCATGGATCTATCACCCCCCTTTGCCACCGGCGTGACAATCGACAGTTTCCATAAACCTGGAAAACTACCGTCCGCTAAAAATTTGTTAAATATAAGCCATAGAACTCTGGACATGACAAAATTGCACGATTTCAGGAACAACGGTGGTATCCCATCCACGCCCGGGCATGTATCCCCTCTAATTGCTTTTATGCCATTAAAAACTTTACTTATTGCAATATCGAGACCCGAGAGATAAAGATCATATTCATATGATATTTCTCGCTTCTGACCATCGGAGACCGTATACACTGACTCAAAAAAAACCCGCAAAGCAGTTTGCAATATCTACACAATCATCCAAATATTCACCATCTTGGTGTATAACTGTCGGTATACTATTTGGCGTCACCGTGGATTTCACAAACTTCCAAAATGACCTTGGATTATTAACAATCTCAAATTCCGCCTTCCGAGTGTAATTCGCAAGACATTCTGATGTAGCACTTTACACTGTGCTTGCAACGCGGAGAACTCTGTGTAGTCTGAAAACTGATTAGACTTTTTATAGCGGTAGTGAGCAGCTTTTTTTGCCTTTATGAGATCTATCAGTTCCCTCGTAAACCAACACGGATAGGACGAAAAACGTACCGGACACTTAGGAACAAAAGACGACACCGCGAATTCTAAATATCGATACAGCAATTCAACAGCTGCATCAACATCCAGACCACCCAGTATGTCGTCCCACAAAATATTCCCAAGATATTCATTAATAGCGGCATAATTGGCCTTCTTAAAATTCCATCTCCATTCGACTTCCCTTCTTCGCGAGAAATTTAGGAATCCTTGAGGCGATACTATTAATGCCGGATGGTAATCTTCGCATTTAAAGATGGGCTCAATAGCCCTACGCACCGTTACGCAACGCAATGAGGAAAAGACTAGATCCAACGTCTTATTAGTCGTATTAGACACCCGATTACACTGATACAAATTAAATCGTTAAAATTTTGAGAAACAATGCTCGCCTCCGCTGTCACATTATACCCGCGCTCAGAGACACATTGCAGTAGGTTATTATTATTAAGCCATTTTATGTGAGGCAAATTAAAATCTCCGACAACTATCACCTCCGCATTTGATGCTTTATTTATTATTTCCTCAACAGATAGGCAATGACTTTCATATACTGCCTGCTCCGAGCCCGGCGATAAATAAACACTGCCGACAATAAACTGGCTATATTCTGCCTTAATCACCACAAACAATTGTTCAACACACGTTATCGTTACATTTAAAATTCTAGAAGATAACGTGTTACGCACCGCAATCAATACCCCGCCACCGCGCGAGCACGCGCTATTTTTGAAACTCCTGTCATTACGAAACACATTGAAGTTCTCCACACTGCTTCATCGCGACACTGCTGCGCCTTTCAAGGTCTCCGCCATGTACCCCTCCGAGTACTTTGCCAACGGAATCAGTGAGTGCTACGCCGTCTTCAGGATCGTCGAACTTAACGCTCGTGCATTCTCACACGGCAGCAGCTCATCCAAAGCGTTCTCAAGTGCTGTTAGTTACCGCCTGCGTCACGTTGATCAACTTGAAAGGAGACAGCATTCAGGTGCAAACTTTATTAGATCAAGATTCGGAAATTTCAATTGTCCAGGAGTCATTAGTGCAATTATTACATCTTCCTCGAGCTCGTGCTTCGGTGCTAATCATGGGAATTGGCGCTTACACCATAGGTACTTCCCGAGGTATTATGTCCTTGAAACTTCGGTCACGTTATGATTCATTGGTGGAAATCTCTGTATCAGCCTTCATCCTTCCGAAAGTTACAGGCCGAATACCGTCAAGTCAAATAAAATCCACCTGGTATCATCTAAGAGGTCTGCAGCTAGCCGATCCGGACTTCGCAACACCAGGTCCTATCGACCTCATTCTCGGAACCGACGTGTATGGTTTGTTATTACTAGGCAATATCAGACGTGACTTACTCAGTGCACCCGTCGCTCAACAGACAACCTTGGGTTGGATAGTGTCTAGACCTATCAAGTCGTCTTCATCGAAATCAATTTCCATTATTTCATGCTGCAAACTGCAAGATGTCGACCTTCACAATACGCTGCAGAAATTCTGGACGCAAGAGGACATCATTCCATCCAGCAAGATCAGGCTTACTCCTGATGAACAAGCTTGCGAAGATTATTTTTGCGCAACGCATTCTCGTGACGCGACCGGGAGATACATCATTCGGCTGCCTTTTCGCTCATCAAACCTCAAGCTGGGCGACTCTCTCACCTCCGCATTGCATTCCTTTGCGAGAGTTTGCTAACGCATTCAGCGTGATACCGCTTTCGGAAGGCTCTATTCAGATTCCATGCAGGAGTATGCCGATCTGAGTCATATGGTGCCGACTTCTTCATCTCAAGGTAACCTCACGCAAACTTACTTGCCACATCACGGAGTTCTACGCGAGACCAGCTCAACCACCAAGCTTAGGGTGGTCTTTAATAGGTCATCCCTTACCAGTATGGGAGTCTCGCTCAACGATTGTCTGCACGCGGGTCCGAAACTTCAGCAAGACCTCGATGCAGTTATCTTACGATGGAGGATGCATGCCTTCGCATTTGCCGCGGACATCGAAAAGATGTATCGGCAGATTGTCATACATCCTGAAGATCGACACCATCAGCAGATTCTTTGGAGCACATCTGATTTGCCGTGCAGCTACCAACTCACCACTGTGACGTACGGATTGACTTCAGCTCCTTATTTTACTCTTCGAGTTCTTCAGCAACTCACCGTTGATAAAGAACACGCCTTTCCGCAGACCGCCAACATCGTGTGCACGGCGATCTACGTCGACGACGTTCTGTCTGGAGCCAATACTCCGCAAGACGCACGAGTCAGAGCTCTTCAAATAACCGAGCTCCTCAGGGCGGGTGGTTTCAGGCTTTAGAAGTGATCAGCCGACAGCGACAAAATTCTTCAAGGCGTCGCAAACTTATCACAGAAATCTGCGGTTCGTGCTCTCCAATCAGAAGCTCGTACTCTAGGTCTCACGTGGCATTCTTCTTCGGACTTCTTTAAGTTCCACGTTAGTCGCTCGATCGTCAAGTTGACTAAAAAATCAATCCTCTTTAGAATAGCTCAACTTTTTGATCCGCTTGGCTGGCTAGCTCCTGTGACAATCCTCGGCAAGATGTTTATTCAACAACTGTGGAAGTCGAATATCAATTGGGATGATCCGCTGCCGCCATCTTTTGCACAACAATGGACTCGATTTGATAAGGATCTACGAGGAGTCGCCGAATATTCGATTCCGCGGTGGCTCGGCACCTCGTCCGATACTGAAGGTCTCGAATTCCACGCGTTTTTAGATGTCTCTTAGGACGCCCTCGGCGCAATGCTCTACACTTGCTCTATTCGAAACTTCGCTGACGCCAGTCATTCTTCTCGTGGCGAAAAGCAAAGTAGCGCCCCTCAAAAGGCAAACCATTCTTTGCTTGCAACTTACAGCAGCCGTCCTTCTATCTCGCCTGTTAGTTCGTATCTGAGATATTCTCAATCTTCAGCAAATTCCTGTTACTCTGGGTTGACTCTAGCGTCAGCCTAGCTTGGATACGTGGTGTGACGTGACAAATTGAGATTGTCCGTCACAAGGGCCGAATGGCCCGACCGGGGAGGGCACGGGACCTCGTGCGAGCTAAGCGCGGGAGCGGACGCGCACCCGCTGCTGTTTCACGTTATTTAGAAATTTAGAATTATCACGGCGGCGAGCAGGACGTGCGACGAGTCTCAGCCAAGAGGAAGGTCCTGTAGGGGAGATAAGGAGGCATAGAAAGCTGGACGACGGAGACCCCCTCATTAGGGACACGCCCGGTAAGCCCCGTTCAAAATACCTCCGCCGAACATCCAACAACGGAATGGGTACCGCCGCCTAAAAATTTTTTGTACCTTCCAGGAGCGAAAAGGGGATGGCCACTCGGGTGCAACATGCACCCGAGTCCCCGCATTCGGAGCGCCGGCAGGAGAGCTGTCGCCCCCGGGACATCCGGAATCCTGAAGGAGAGCCAGGAGCGGCCCTGCCGTGCGCTGCCGCGACGACCGCTTACAAAGGGCAACCCGCGAACCAAGGATTTGCGAGCCAGGATGATTACGGGCGCGGCCCGACCTGATAGCGCCACGAGCGGCCTATCTAAGTAATTGGGTCACCGGCGTGTCTCCTGAGGGCCCCCGGTTCGTCACTGTCTGGCGAGCGCCTGAGGAGAGAGGAGGTCTCAGTCGAAAGAAAGAGCGAAAGTATTCCGAGAGAGCGGAGAGAACGAGAGAGCCACCGCAAAGGACTGGTGAGACAACGTCGTCATCCTGCAATCGCTTTAATTCAGGTAGATGAGTGGATGGGTCTCTAAAATAAATTATCGATCTCGAGATTCGCGCCGGACTTAGCTGCCGGAAACTTTCGAGAATTAGAGAATTGTCGTTTTTGAGTCGCGTAATTAACGTAAAGTCATCGCAGGAAATCTACGATTCATCCACTCTCTCGCGTTTCCAAATATTCTCTCTCCCGCGTCGACAGTTCACGCGTGTAATAATTGTCGCGCGTATCATTGTGTAATTTCTACGTTGTCGTGAATTACCCAAAAGTAATTCGTCGGGAGCTCATAAACGCCTTTCGAGATTGTTAATGCATTATTACTACTAGGAGGAAAAGGCGTTATTTGTAATTCTATTGTATGGGAAGTGTGTACGGCGCACGCGACGCGCCCTTACACCGGCCTGTTTGTGGTCGCGCATACCGCGCGGATCACGCGCCCGCGGCGTGAAGTAATATACCCGGTGGCGCGCCGCCGACTCTCACGCGGAAAATCTTGGCGGCAATAAAACCGCAGATGGTTAGCGCAGTCCGATTAAAAAATTTTTGGGACACCTACCCCGTTCACCGCAACTTATATAGAGCCTGTTCGTCACCCGGCACGGTGAGCCACCGGTCATATTATTTTGCCCGGAGATATGACATCCAATTGATATTTTCTTGTTGTTCTGCTTTTCTCTACGATGATATCCAAATATATGGTTTATTAAAATTTAAGCGACTCTGATGATTTCTCACCACTACGCACCCGAACCCTTACCTTTTCGAGGGCTAGCCGAGCGGGAAAGCTTACCGTCGCGATCTCTCTCTCTTCCGTAAACGACGTTGCGATCGCACTTTTGACGATACGTCCGAGAAGAAAATTTTTAGCGTTCGGTAATTAGCATTATTGAGAGACGGTGCGGCTGCCGCACCTGGCGCCCAACTCAGTTAAAAATTTCGTGGATCGAGCAGAGAGATCGTGCCAAAGGGAACCGGCGTTAGTACGGAGACTTTTCCTCCTTACTTCACAATTCACAAATTTGCTGCGAATTTCGCGCGCCCGGTTACAGTGGACATCCTTCGAAATGGCAGGAGTTCGTCGCAAATAAAGTTGCCATCATTCAGGAACTTGTGCCTGACACCCGGTGGCATCACATAGCAGACAGCGAAAATCCAGCAGACTGAGTCTCTCGCGGACTATCTCCAAGGCTCTTGCAAAATCATCAATTGTGGTGACATGGACCGGATTAGCTTCAAGGTCCCTCCGTGAGTTGGTCAACCGCCATCCTTCCCACCACGATGACATTCATCTCGAGAAAAAGAGCCTCAGCGAGTTCTCGCTAATGTAGTAAGCACAACATCTTCCTTTTGGGATCTTATTGATCGATTTTCCAGCATTGATCGGCTCCTTCGCATCACCGCATGGATCCTGCGCTGCGTCGCCATCTTCAAAAAACTCGATTATCACCACTCTCGAGCCTTGCACCCTGAAGAACTTATCTATGCTCGAACTGTTTGGGTCAAGGTCACGCAACAAGCTTATCACGAGATTGAGATCTGTTCGTCGCGGACCCCTCTTCCCAGGACGCATCCGCTTCTTAAACTAGCTCCATTCGTTGACCATGAAAGAGTTCTTCGCGTTGGTGGACGTTTGAAAAATTCACTCCTTGACCTAGATAAAAAACATCCCGCCATCCTCTCTCGTGATTCCTCATTCTCACGACTTATTATTTCAGACGTTCATAATCGAACACTACACGATGGGACTCAAGTGGTGCTAGCAACCATACGACAGCACTATTGGATCCTCGGAGGACGTGCTTCTGTCAGCTTATTTATCTGCCACTGCGTCAAATGTGCACGATATCGCGCAGCCACCTTAACAGATGATGGGCTTTTTTCCAGCATCGTGCGTCACACCAACGCGCGCATTTTTGCATTCCGGCGTCGACTACGCTAGGCCTTACATGCTACGCACATGGCGAGGCCGCGCTTCCAGAACGTACAAGGCCTATTTAGTCATCTTTGTCTGTTTTTCAACGTCCGCGGTTTACCTCAATCTCGCTACCGATTACTCCACGCAGGGCTTCTTAGCTGCGTATCGACGGTTTATCGCACGACGAGGACGCTGTGTGATATCCAGCGACTGCGGAACGAATTTCGTTGGAGCAGACGTTGAGCTCAGACGCCTTTTCAATTCAACTTCCAAGGACGCTGCGGAGCTCGCTAATACATTAGCCGCTGATGGAACGGAATAGAAGTTTAATTCACCTTCCGCTCCCCACTTTGGAGGAAAATGGGAGGCCGCCGTCAAATCAACTAAGTTCCATCTTCGACGACTTTTAGGCAACACAGTGCTGACCTACGAGGAATTCAACACTCTTCTTACGCAAATCGAAGCCGTACTTATAACTCTCGACCGTTTTCCTCGCTATCCGAAGATCCTACGGATGTCAACGCGCTTATACCAGCTCATTTTCTCCTTGGCGAATCTTTAATCATGCCAGAGCCATCACTCATTAACGTGCAGACTTCTCGCCTATCACAATGGCAGTTACTACGTCAAATGTTGGACCGATTCTGGATGCGGTGGTCAACGGAATATCTTCAATGCCTGCAGACTCGGAATAAGTAGCATTTCTCCAGCAACCCGTTCAAAATCGGAGATCTCGTTCTCGTTTTTGATGAGCGGTATCTACCTGCAAAGTGGCCTCTCGCGCGCGTAACGGATTTACATCCCGGGTCTGATGGTCATATACGCGTTATTACCGCCCGCACCGCCGTTTCTGAATTCAAACGACCAATTGTAAAACTATATCTACTTCCAATCACTAGTTAAACTCGCGTAGTAATGTCTTCAATCAACCTTTCAGTTAACTGTACTCGCTTACTTCGCGCTTATACCGGCGGCATACTTCATTTCATTGTAAAAAAAAAATTCATCAATTCTCATCCCTTCATTTCGACGCGTTTCACTCAGCTTTTTTTCATTTCATCAGCGACGCCTATCACGTTCCTGAGATGGGCGGTATGTTCATACTTTAATTAAAATAATAAAATTTTGCATCCTTTCTTCTCAGTTAAATAAATCATTTTAAGTATCAATTTTCGAGTATTGTAAACCTTAAATTCTCGTATTGTATTTGCCATTATTTTCTGTCTATAAATAACGTTCTGTGATATAATCGTATCGGTAATATCCTTCTTCCGTGTGTTTACGCGTTTTTCATGCTCGCTCGTCTTACATCGCGCGTCTCTCGCTCTGCTTTTTTAGCGCCGATCAGCTGTTTAGATCTCTCGATATAAACGGTGTCTGCAACGAATCTGACTTTCTCGGTCTTTCGTTGTGTTGAACGTTGTTATTCTCGATCGACTTTCGTGTGAGTGACATCGTGCTTTAACCGCTCTCTAAATCCTCTTCGCAATTGTTCGCACTTTTTGTAACGGATCAAAGTCAACAAATAAATTCAGTCTAATTTTAAGTGTAAAGTCAATCTTATAATTTGTGTCGTTAATCCTCTTGAAAAATCTAATAATATTATGTGTTACATTATATTAATATAATAACATTATGCGTTATTCAAGCTAATTTATGTCTTAAT